AGTTGTTGTCAGAGGTCCACTTATGATTTCAAGCGAAATAATTTAACTACTGCTCGTCGTGACGGTCGCCCCAGGAAATTGGAGGAAGGAGCTGTGGTTGAGGACTTGCAGAGAGAACTTGATGCAAGATTGCAGAGGGAAGTGGCATTAGAAGGTGCTTTATTTGAGAAAGAACAGATGGAAAGTGAACTACGAAAAAGAATCAATGAAGCAAAACAACGGGAAGAAGATTTTGAAAATGAGCTTGCCAATATGTGGGTGCTAATTGCAAAGATGAGAAAGTCTGACATTAATGCTGAGGATGCATCTTCCGAGGATGTCAATGCATTGAATTTCTCAAAAATAGGAGTTCGAGGTGGTTTTCTCCCAAGTAAAAATCAGTTGTTCAAAATTTTCGAAGAGGGTGAAAGTTGTGAAAACATTGATGGTATCAAAACATTTGAGGAGTTAAGAGCTAGCTATCAGAAAGAAAGGAGAAGATGCAGAGAGCTAGAGAGTATTATTTCCAGATTGAAGGTATGCACCTTTTGCACCTACTTTCCTAGGAATCAGATAATGATGCTGGTTTACGCTTCTGAATATTAATTATTTGCATGAGGATTTGATTGATAGTTCTTTTTTACCATGTTCGGTGTGGCTTTTTGCTTGATGTTATCAACTTCTCCAAATCTAGATATTCAACACGTTCTAGCTGAATTTTTTGGTTATAGTCCTGTTTTCTGCTTTCATGTGTGTGTGTGTGTGGTGTGTGTCCAATGCAGAAAACTTTCTTAATAATGCGTGTTTTTAGTTTTACTTTTTCTTAAATGCATAATATTTAGGGGACGTGTTTTCAAAGTAGTTTCTTTCCTTGGTTCTCAAAAGTCCAAGACAGTTTCTTGATATGTTTGGTATAAACAATTTTTTTATTGACTATGGAAAAAGACAACAGGTGCCTCTAAGGTACCCTTTTAGCGATTTGTTTTTCAAAAAATGCTCTTCTAAGGGATTTAGAGTATGAAATAACACAATTTTGTCAAAATGCCAACAGTATGTTGAGTTACAGCCAATAATGTCCACAAATGTGTTGAGTTTTAAACAATATGAAAGAACAGGAGAAGAAAAATATACAAATCCAAACATTTGCATCACAGTGAAGAGGAATGTCTTCTTGCTGCTTTGTAACTAGTCATGATTTTAGAATGCATTACTTATGCTCTTTCTCTTTTATAGAGTATCATGCCTACATAGAGCGGACTCACTGGGTGTTTGGCTTATCTTATTCTTTAAGAGCTTATTAGCTATAGACTTTTTAAGAGGTATAAGCATGTAACTTGATCTTTCTTTAATAAGTTATTGAAAGTTTATAAGTTCAATTAATTTGTTTGCATGTTTAGTGAAAACATAACGTATAAAATGTTGTTTAAAAATAACAAAAAATGGTACCCTTAAAAGAGGGATAAGTAGATTTTATGTGATATAATTTTGAAGTTATTAAAGTTATTTTAATCTTTTATTGTTCAGCACCAATATTTTTTAGATAACTTATAAGCTCTTGACTGCAAAAATTACATCTAAATTATTTTCTAAAAACGCTATTAAAAGTGGATTTAAGTTGTTTAACTGATAAATTCTTTTTATTTATGAAATGTGTAAAAGATATAGAATGTTGTCAGGAAGCTTACAAGTTCCTATGCACCAAAAGATACGCTAAGCAGAACACTCTCTCAAATGAGGAAAGCAACTACTTCAATTCATATATTAGCTACCTACTTTAGTTTCCAAACAACTCATTGTTGAGGATGTAACAATTCTTTAGTTATTGAGATTGTACTACATAGTAAATATCCAAACTTTTTGAGTTGCTCATCAGCTTTACTGATTTTTCAGACATCAGATATTTCAGCTAAAGGTTTTTATGATTTACATCTTAAATCCTATCTGGGTCTATCAAGAATGAGATGAAACAAGTTATTGATGAGAAATAGTCCAATTATCTTTTCAGGGTGAAGGACTGTGAGAATGCTGGAAGAACTGCAGGAGTTTCGTGTTGAGGTTGTAACAAAGATTTGCCATGCAAAGGTGATGTTTCTTGGCTCATTTTCTTTTTTTTAATATTATGCTAACCTTTTATGTTTCTTTACATCTCTGAAACTGTCTTTTATTCTTGGATTAGTGATGCTGTTGAATCTTTAATCAGCAGCATTATAAGTTTATTAACATAGTTGTGAGGCATTTTGAGCTTCTGCTGTTACCTACAAGTTTTTATGTTAGTGCCATTAAATATTCAAAATACTTTTCTATTATTTAGGAATCTTCAAATAAGTCTTTATACAAATTTTACATTTATTCAACCCATATACTTTAAAATTTGTTTGAATCAAATGGATGTTTGTTAAACACTTATCAATTCCATTACTTTATGCACACATGGCGTATATTGTTGCATTTCTACCTACTTGACATTGAGGTGGCATACATATCATGTATTTTATTTTTTGGTATTTTATGAAAACAATATTTAAAAATTAATAACCATTTAGAAAAATAAAGCCAAAAGAGGAAAACAGAAAACACCAAGTCAACTCCATCAAACACTCTACGGCTGTTGGTATCATCTCTGCTGCAGCCTCCTCTCCAAAATTCAACAAAAAATTAGAAAGAAATAAATGGAGAAACAACAAAGAAAACCCAAACTAATAACAAAACAGAAATCAAAGGGAAAAGAATTTGAAAATATATCACAGGAAAAACCAACAGCATGAAACACCATCTCCCAATCCACTAGAGACGCTAATCATCTTCGGCTCTCTTTGAGATTTCAGTAGCACTGATACCAACAATTTCT